TCTCGATACACTCTGGTCTTGGTCTTGTCTTGGTCTCGGGTTAGGTGGTCTTGACCACAACACTGGCACAGAGTTCTGAAGCTTCTGACTCAGCTGCTGCACACAGAGGCATCTGTAAAATAGTAGATGGTTGAGAAAACATGTGTTTGTGTTTGGTGTCTGTCTGCTCTCAGAGCTCAGCGCAGACACTGCAGGACTTAAAGAGGTGCAGGCTGGAACTGCGAAAAGAGGGCAACACTCTCATCGACTTCTTTTGTGAAGACAAGGACACCTTCAAGCTGGACGAGTGTTTCCGGATCTTTCAAGACTTCTGCATTAAATTCAACAAAGCTGTAAAGGTCAGTGTGAGTGGAAAGATGCTATATTTTCACTGTTTAGCAGCTATGGTAGAGATTATTAAACAGTCAAAATGCATTCATCTTTTATTGCAATAACAAAAAAATTTGGAAAATCCAGAATTTAATTAGAGTTTGTTTATTCAGTGGAGGAAAAACATATATATACAGTACATTTAGTCAGAGCAATAATGAAAAAGTTAGAAGAAGCTTCAGTGTGGTGAAAAAATCCCCATCTCAGTGGTAGAAAACAACGGTCATTGTTTTAGAGTGAAATTATGCTTCACTCTAAAAAAAGTGTAATAAATTACATTTTTAAAAGAGTGATTTATTTCAACTTGTTTGGAACTTTTTGGTCACTGCTTCATTTTGTGTGTCTGATTTCAAAATAAAAGCACAATGAGCAGTATTGCTTCATAGATTGTTGTAGGTAGTTTGGTTATGCATCAGCAGAGATAGTAAGTATTTTTCATCAGCAGTAGCTGAAATAAGTCCAACAAAAAAGAGAAAAACCTCTCACATATGAGAATACTTTGAAAACACAGCTCACAAAAAGATTCTGTTTAAATAGAAATAAACACCATGAAGCTGCCTAACCACAACTAACCACAAAATACTTCAATCTGTTTGTACTTGTTATACTTTAATTTAAAATATTCAATCTACATTTGAAGTGCACCAAACAAAGTAATAAAGAGCTTCATTACCAGGAGCCTTTGTCTGTCTGTATAAATGACCAATCAGAGTTAGTCTTCTGTAAACTGTCTGGTTCTGCACTGAAAATGAACTGTGTAATTTTTGTGTTGGCCAGTATTGAGTGTTTGTCAATATTCAGCGAGAGACACTGCCTTGTACGAGTATCCAGACTTTTTTACTTTTTTCGTATATTCTAAAGTGGCAACCACAAACCTCAGTGCATTTTATTGGAACTTTTTTATGATAGACCAACATGAAGTTGCTTGTTATAGAGAGGTAGGAGAAAAAGTATACATGCTTCCAAACATTTTCTTTTTTTTTTCTTTTTTCTTTTTTTACAAATAAATATGTGAAAAGCGTGTAATTGTAATGGTATTTACAGGTTGTGTACATCTCTCATTACTCATAATTCCTAAAGTTTTCCTGCTCTGTTTCGTCTCAGGACAACAGGGAGCGTGAGCTGAAGGAAGCAGTCAGACTGCGGCGGCTCAGGGAGCTGGAGGAGAAGCGCTTTGTGTGGGCCGCTGAGGATCACAGCAATGTCTTCGGCCGCAGCAGCAGCGAGAGCGACGTAGAAATGCTCACCAAGGAAGGCCTGCTGGACTTCTTCCAGAAAAGGTCCCAGAGTCCAAACAGTCCGCTCGGACGCTCCGCCAGCGCCCGCCGCCACCGTCACACTATGACCTCCATAGTAGACCGCGAGCTCCAGGGTTACCTGGAGCTGTTCGGAGGCGCAGGGAACCCCACCAGCTACTCCAGGTTCTACAGCCTGCCCCGGCCCGGCCGGCCTCTCCACAGGAACACCGTACCGTGGATTCTTGGTCAGGATGACAACAGAGAGGCGACGTCTCCACATGCAGAAACGGAGCCTGTTGGCTCTCTGGCCAGCTTCTCTTCCTCTGGCTCCAACGATAACGAAGTCGTCAACGACAACAATAATTACTCGTCTGTTTCGGAGAGCAGCGCTTTGCCTCGCCCCTTCTGTGTCTTTCAGAAGCCCGCCTGCCTTCCCAACCCAGCTGTTACTGGCCTCATGAATGTTAGCGTGGACAAGCACACTTTAGTTCAAGCTCCTCAAAGTTTTGACCTGCAGAGCCCAAACAACAACAGCGACCATAAGCACTTTGTCAGCCGTGGCGACGTTGTGGTAACTGAACTTGAACAGGAGGCAGAACGTTCTCCCAGACATCAGGACAAGTTCGTCTTTGATGAGGTTTTGGAGAAAAGAGCTGATCCAAAGGCAGGGGAAGGTAAAGACAAGACAGGAGATTCCTCTGAGAGGGAGAGAGATGACAAGGACTGCAGCACAGTTTCATCCACAACCTGTGATACTCCCCTTCCTCTGGATACCTCTGGGTCCAACAAGAAGCCTATGTTTTACATAATAGACTGCACCGAAACAGACTGCTCCGTGGTGCTGGATTATTCCGAGGCTGAAAGCTCATCTCTCACCAAAGAAGGTCTTCAGTTTGTTCCTCAGTGGGGCAAAGATTTGGAAAGCCAGCAAGGTCCAAATTCCTCCTGCAACGACCAGTCCATCTCAACCAGTGAGCTCTCAGCGCCCAAATCTGCAGACGTGACATCTGTGGCTGCATCTGCCACCACAGAGGACTGGGACACAGAGAGCTGTGACACGGCAGAGGGGAAACAGGCTGCAGAGAAGGACCAGAGAGCAGGCAGAAAACCGCTGAACTCAAAGAGCAACAAAGTGTCAAAGGGCAGCGGGGGTCGAGGGGTTCGGACTTTGACCAGCGGCGAGAGCCAAGGAGTCCGGAAAGTTGTCCCCATCAGCAGGGTGAACAGGACGGGCAGCAGCAGGAGGACAGACAGAGCTTCAGTCCAGAACAGCGGAGAGGCACACCGACACCTCCGTGACCAAAGCACTCCTGCAAGAGGAAGAGCCGAGAAGACAGCGAGACCGCCTCGACACTCAAGCGTTCCTCCTGATGAGTCCAAGGTCCAGAGGGGGGGTGGCCTTCTGGGGGGAGTGTCTAGATGGGCGCGAGATTCAACGCCGAGGAAAGCTTCCCTCCACAAGCCGAGCGCCAAACCGCTCAGAAACATCCCAAAGCCTGTACATGAGGAGAAGATGTGCCGCTCCACCATGAGGGCTCTGGCTCAGGCCCAGGCTCAGGCTGGACCCCCCGGGGGGCCTTCCTCAGAGAACAGCAGCTCAGAACCTCAAAATGCTAAGAACTCCTCCAACGTCCCCAGCTTTGCCCGAAACACTGTAGCTTCATCTTCCAGGACCAAGAGGGATCTGGGCCCTCCATCCATCCCCACCACCCCGTCCCGCAGCCCCTCGCTCCAGGGGCACCGCACCTCCACCAAGCAGAACCCGGCCTCACCGACACCTCAGAGCAATGAAGAAAAGCCTCCAGTGACACACCTGCGGCGGGTGCACAGCGTCAAGGCGGCCAGCCGCATAGCCGGTCGCAGCGAGACCCCGCCTCCAACATCAACACGGGGCAGCATTCGGAAGACCAGCAGCTTTTCTGAAAAGTCTGTGCAGCTCAGAGACTCGTTGATGTCTGGCAAAGTCACAAAGCCGAGCTGGAAGTGACACCAGACCTGGTGCAAATTGACTGCAGTCACAGACGACCTCTCCATGTAGAATAGAGTGATATTTACTCGCCTTACCAATCCACAGAGGAGGGGAATCCTCTCTAACATGCAACAGACCTGAAGCTGAAATCCACATTAAGCTGTTTTACCCTCTGATTCTGTTACTTCTGTAGTTGACAATTGCAAAGAGCAAGATGCAATAAACCTCTCTTTGTTTCTGTCGTGTTTCTATAGAAAAGTTACTTTTGTTTTTCGACTAACATGACAAGTGGTAAATTGGTGATCTTACACAGAAGCCTTATTGCCTGCTTAGCTGTTAATCTGCAGATCCCTGTATGCTACTGTCTGTGACGATGTTAATGTTTTAAGAAATACTGACTCACTACCATAATGCTGCTAATTAGCTCTGATTGTTCCCTTTTTTTTTATTCAGGGTTTCAGAATCTGGTAAATCTCGCTGCTGTCACTGTGCCTTGAAAAAGTATTGATACCCTGAGAACTTTATCACATCTTCTCAAGTTACAACCAAAAAAAACTACAATAAGTTTAATTTGTACTTTATGTGATAGATAACAATGAGTAGTGCATACATTGGCAATGGCAGGACTGCACTATATGAGGAAATAATGTTATGCAATATGCTCAATATTTCAAGTGTAATATTGCTTAAGTCCTCATTTTCCTTAATTTTCTGTTTCTCAGCGGTTATTGCGATGCTTCCCATACTCTGTGACCTCGAGCATCAGGGCGTCTGATCTAGAGGTCAGTTAATGTCCAGCCAACAGGCTGGATGTATAATTGGCAGATTTGTGGAATTCACGTCTTTAAATCACTCTGGGATTTCTGAAGGTTTTTATTTGGGGACGTCAAAGTAAACAGGGTTCAATACAGATGCTCTCCACAGTTTTCAGATTTTTATTCCGTGTGTCCCTTTCCTCCCCCTTCACTATTATGTGCAGCCTTGCCTTTGTGTAGGTCTATCACATGAAATGCCAAATGAATACTTACATGTTTGTGGTTGTAATATGAGAAATCATTCAAAACGTGGAGTGGTATTCATGGTTTTGCCAGGCATTGTGTGTTTTCGTTTGGCCCGGTCCTCCAACTGTTTCCTTTGCTCAGTACCTCAGACAGATCGCTGTGGCCTTGTAATCACATGAGACGACTCCTTTATTTTTACATGCTGACAACATGGACATAATCTGATCAGTTAAAGTCCGTGGCATTCTGAAGGTAGAACAACATGTAAATTCACAAATAAAATACCAGTGTACAAAAGCTGCTTTTGGTACCTTTTCTATTGAAGTGTCAGTCATTTGTATGTGCATGAAGTCACTGTGGACATCAGAAACGTTCAAGCTTGGTGTAAGACATGATAAATATTGATGACGTAAAATAAAAATGTCGAGTGAATTTAAATAATACTGAAAATATGGTTAGTGATCCCTTCATACTTTGAATATTGTATAGCGCTATGAAAAGGTTTTTGCCTGGTTAAGATTGATCTTGTTTTTTTGTTCTTCAGTCGCTTCAAAGACAACCTGAGTAAATATGAACTGAGGATTTAATAGAGTTAGATAATCTCACTCATGATGTTTGTTGGCAGGTGGATCTTTTGGTCAACTTGAAAATTTCTGCTTGACACCAGTTTCGTTTCTTATGATTGAATCATGAACTTTGACCTTAAGAGGCT